TTTTTCTCAACACTCTTTCCTCAACTATTTCTTTAGTACTATGAGTCCATGGACAAATCATGATTCAATATTTTGAAAGATAATATGAACATGAATCTTGACACAAACAATAAGAAGAGTCACATAAAGAAAATAATCAAGCAATAGAGAAATCACTAGTAATATAGAATGTAGAAGAGTAAATCAATGAGTTGAATGAGTAAATGATGGTGCAGTACAGGAGTCATTACATTAAGCACCAAGGGAACACATACTCCCTCCTCTAGAATCAACATAACAACAAAGAATTGACTTATTTAAGGCGCACGAGAGAGGAACCTCTTCTTTTGTTATGGTGAGTGAGGATAAGAAATTACCTGGAGAGTTTCAATTCAACCCACTTAGATTATGAAAGGGGAGAAGGCAAAATGAAACTCCCATACCACATCAATTCAAGAATATTTTTTTGGAGAGATTTGACAAGGTTGAGACACTATAAAGGATGAATTTTTTGTTGATGGGATTTTACATAAGAAGATATAACCCCTCAACCTGTAATCTTTCTACTTATGATAAATGAAGGTATAAAGTTTCATTAATTTTTCATGAGTTTTAAAGTGTTAGCATTCAAATAGTCGAATAGTCTGCCATTAAAAGTGATTGCTCTATATGTAAATTTTATGTTTGTGATACAGTTTTCAAGCACAAAAAAGCCACTAAAATGTTTGTATGTTTTATTGCGATTCATTAAGAATAAGGATATTCCCCATGCTTAGCAACATGACACTTGTATTTCTTTCCACAATTCAGTATTTACAGCTTACGTTGCTCCTATTTCACTTGTCACTACGAATCGCTTTTTCTTTCTTTCACTCTAGCTGCTAAAATGTTTCTATTCATTGGGTTCTATCTTGCTTGCCCATGAATTCAACAAAAGTTCGAAAGGTTGCATGTCAGTTCAGAGCCAAATGACCACCCTAATAGCACTCATCCATAAACCGTTAACTTTGCACAAATAGCATAAAGAAATGAAACAAACATTCTTTGGAAAGAAAATCTCAAGGATTTGGGACCAAAAACCGTTAGTAGTGACCATTGAGCAACTTGAGTTGGGTTAAAAGCATATAATGCATTTGCACCATCACCATCTTCAAATAATGTATTTTCTACGTTGGCACTAAGAATTGAAAGCAACAAACAAATCAACCCAGCTCATTTTTAAATATCATCAATCTTATTATTAGGCAAACCAAAGATAGAAAATCAGGTTCCCCACCTTATCAACACCTTCGGTTTACTATTAATTGAAGCCCCTCGACGAATTTGTTTTTTTTGTTTCAGAAAGAGATGTTGGTAGTTAGAGGACTTAAAACTTGAAATGCAACCAACAACGTTATATGAGTACTTAGAGCTAGCCAACAACTATATTTTTTTGCTAAGGAGTATAATTCACTTCCCAATGTCTTTAGTTCAAGTTGCCAAGAGCTACATCCATCGAAGAGTATATGTCGTCTGGTCAATAAAAAAGAAGAAAATCACTCTAAGGGGCTTATGATCAAACTAGAATTCAAGAAGCATTGAAATATAGGGAATATACATATTTTCAGGAATGCCAAAGTCATGTTA